GATTTTATATGTCCTTATTGTATTTCTGTAATGTAGGCATCATTTTATCACTCTAGATACAAGATCATTAAGTTCAAAGAGATAGAATAATTTTTAGAAAGAAATAATTTTTAGTAAGCAACCGAGTTATCTGACTCCCATACTGAACTTCAAAGTCATTCGCGGATGAAGATGTGCTTTGCACTTAACAGTTTACCCTGCATGTTCAGGCCTGGAGTGTTAGGAGAACCAGGGATATAAAAGAGGCAAAGGCGAAATCTTGAATATTTTTAAGGACGCGTAGGTTGTTAAATAGAAGAAAACCAAACCCACTGCCATCGAGTCTACTCCGTCTCACAGTGACCCTATAGGACAAAGTAGAACTGTGCCTTTGGGTCTCTGACTCATTAAATCTTTGTGGTAGCAGAAAGCCGCATCTTCTCTTGGAACTTCTGGTGGGTTCAAACCGCTGACCCCGTGGTTAGCCTCCCAACTCATAACCCAGCACTCCACCAGGGCTTCTTCAGTCGCGGCCTGGCAACCTGCTTTTTAAACATCAGCCCATGAAAAGCATAGGAAATATCACAGTCTGGCACCATTTTGCACACAGTCATTTTGAGTCCAGGGCTGACTGGGCAGTGAACACCATTCATTGAATCTCTGCCATGGAGGCTGTTGTGACTCAGCTAACAACAATAGCCGTTTCTTAAGTATCAAAGGGTTGGAAGCAGGAGTCGTAGAAAAAGTGAGATTCTGGAATAGGAGCCCAAAATCAAGCATTCAAAAGTGCTTTCTTTCCCTGTATACCGAAATGTCCCAAAAAACCCCAAGTATACTGGACCTAAAAATAATGCTACAATTAATTAAGAGAAAACCAGATCATGCATAGCCCTTTTTCTTTTTAGCTAGATTGGACAACACTAAATAATTTTTTGGTATTTCACAATTTATATACATATCATCAATATTATAACGGGGTCCTTCTCTGAGCATATATATGTATTTATATAGTCAATGATACACCGTGTGTATGTGCAGATGTGTTAGTGCTAGTGTGGATGGTAAGGTTTTGGTGTACGGCGATTATTCTTATCCTTTTACCTTTGCTTGGCTGAATGCTCAGCAACAACAAGGCCAGAAGTCTTCTCTGTTCCTGGGGCTTTCATTCAGAAGCTAGTTTACATCACAATGGGCCACCAGTCTCTTTAGTATCAGGTCCCTGTGCTCCAAGTATTCAATTACAGTATCTGATAAAATCATGAATATCCTAGGAGTTAATGTACATCCTCAACAGTGAGGCCTTTTAAAAAATTGGATTCATTGGGAAAGGGAAGTCTTTATTTCTTAGTGTATATATATGGGTCTATTTGGACAATGACAAAAGCTACGTGCTTGGGACCGAAAAGAAAAAGTATCCTCCTCTTTTCTCTTCTGCTCTGTTTTTGCCCAATTTTAATGGGAATTCAAGTATAATTGAATGTGCCTCCTGGGAGTGAAAACTCCATTCAGGTTGGCTAATCCTATGGAGAATAGCTGAGCTGGGGCAATGTATGCCTTTTTTGAAGCCACTAAGAATAGCAGTAGTCTTGTGAAGTAACCTTATTGCCCACTCTGCGGAGCCCACATGAGACCTTAGGTTTGGCAGAGACTGTGGAATCAAACCGGGCTAACATCCTGTACAGCGGAGGAATTTCTTCTCTGTTCTCCCGGCCACCTCCTGGCGAAGCACATAGTTGAGATGACCGAGCGAGCGCCTTAGGCTTGACTCTCTTGCTCTTGGAAAGCCCAGTGCCATCAAGTTGATTCCCACCTACAGCAATCCTAGAGGACAAGAGTAAAACTGCCCCTTTGGGTTTCTGAGACTTTAAAGTTTTATGGAAGCGTACAGTCTGAATTTTCCCCTGCAGAGCGACTGGTGGGTCTGAACCACTGACCTTTGGGTTAGTAGCAAAATGTGTAACCCACTGCAGCTCTAGGAAGGCAGGAGCTCTACAGGGGCTCTGCTTTGCTTGGCTGTAGAAAGTGCCACTGCTTGCCATGTCTCCAGCGCTTGCTCGTGGACCCTAGAGTCATAACCAAATCATTTGCCTTCTGGACAACTCTTCGTTAGGGCCACCCTATGGATGTCAGAGTAGAACTACGTTCCCTAAGGCATTCAATGGCTACTTTTTAAGAAGCAGATCGCCAGGTCTTTTTTCCTCGGTGCATCTGGGTGGATTCTAACCTTTCGATTTATAGCTGAGTGTGCTAGCCATATGTACCAACCCAGGAACCCTTAGAGTTATAAACACCCACACGTAAATCCTAGTTCTGTCACTTGCTTTGAGACATTGATTCATTTCCTAACCCCTCTGAGTATCAAGTTTTGCATGAGAAGCAAGCAGATGATATATCCAATTAGAAGAGTTTCTGGGCTGTGTTCTGAAGTCTGTTTGTAGAGTTGTGTACAGGATTAATCCCATACAAAGAATCTGACACATAACAGACATTTTACATAGCGTATTGAGCCTAATTCTAGTCTTTTGCTCACTGTGTTATGCTTGATTCTAAGTTCAGAATCCCCATGGTGGTCTGTCTAGTATAAAGTAAAATGGAAATATTACTTAATTGGTACAGGGCAAATTATGGTTTCTTTTTTCTGATTGGTAGTTTTGTTTTTCCCTTTTGATATGAGTGTATGTGTGTGTTTTGTGGGTGTATTCCTTTTATTCTGGGGTGGGGGGCAAATGGGTTAACGTTAGAGTATTAACTGAAAGGTTTACTGTTCAAACCTTCACATGGAGGTGTCCTGTGTCCTACTCCATACATGGGGGTGCCATGAGTTGACAAATCCACTTGACAGTCACTAGCCACAACAAAATACATGTAACATAACATTTGTCACTTTAACCAGTTTTAAGCATCCACTGCAGTCACGTTTATTGTATTCATATGCAATGCTTCTACCACCTACTCCTAGACCTTTTCCAGCGGCCTCCCTAGAAACTCTGTGCCCATTAAGCAATCACTCCCGATTGCAGACCTTCCACAGCCCCTGGTAACCTCTAATTTACTTTCTGTCTCTATGCTTTATATCTTAGTTCTTTTACAGGGAGGTGGGCTATGATGTGGATGGCTGAACAGGAAACTTCAGAACTAAGCACCAGCAGTGGACTACCTGCTTTCCCAAAACTATGCCCTCAATGGTCAGGGCAGAGAGAGAGATCATCAGGGTGCCTGGTGGCATAGAGGCAAAGGGAAATGCAGGCTTGGGTCAGAATGTATTAGCATCAGCTAAGATTGTTAACCCAAAACAACTGGCCCAAAAGGGAAACTTCAGTTCCACCGTCGTTTGGTCCACATTAAAATGACCAAGCAGAATGATTTCCATCAGATTTACTGTTCCTTTTTCTTTTTCGTTTTTTTATACAGCCTTGTAAGGAAATAATTGAACTAATTACTTTTTGGTGATAATATATGTGTGTTAATAATGCTTATTTTTAAAGATATTCAGTATATTAATCAAATATTACAAGGCCCAGGAGATGCAAGGAGAATTTGCCCTTCACCAAGTGTTTGTAAGAAACCGGCAATGCTGAAATAAGAAACGCCTGCATTTTCTCCTTCACCCTTTTCTTGCAGTACGTGGGAGGGGCCTTCGTGGGAGGGGCCTTCGTGGGAGGGGCCTTCGCGAGCAGTCTGTTGCTGGAGTCTTCACTGCAGACGGCGCCCTGTTGGTTTTCAAATGACTTTTAAGAGATTACTGAATATTTTAAAAATGAATAAAGATGAAAACCTTCACCAATATAGGTTTGACAAATTCCAAAGATGTCATCTGAGCACTATTTTTTTCTGGCGCGGGGAGAGAAATGTATTTTTTTTCACTTAAACAGCAAGAGGGAACCGATTACAAGAAACTAGGTATTGCCTCCTCCCGGGGGGGAGGGACAGCAGAGAAGAGGGCGGGGAGAGACGTCGGACAGTGTGACTTATGACAAAACTATAATAAGTTGTGAATTATGAAGGGGTCATGAGGGAGGGAGGCTGGGGAGGGAGGGGGAAAACGAGCAATTGATATTAAGGGCAGAGGTGGAGGGCAAATGTTTTGAGAATGATGAGGGCAGCGAATGTACATATGTGCTGGACACAATGGATGGATGGATGGATTGTGATGAGAATTGTACGAGCACCCAATCAAGTAATTTAAAAAAACACAAAGTTTTTTTAAATGATCACAATGTTCTGGGGTGGTTTGGCTTTTCCACTTTGTTGTAGTGCAGTGATACGGAGGTGGAGCTTTCAGGAGAGTTGTTTGTTTAGGAGAAATGGCCATAAACCTACTGTTACTATTGTTTCACATTCCACAGGGACTTGACCAAAGATCTCGGAAATATTCTGCAAACTTCCTGGGACTGATGTTGTTTGTAGTGGAAATTTTCTGCTTGATTTTCACTGAGTGTATTTTTGGTACTAATTATCCTTAAAATGTTGACAAATTGATAGGTATGACTCTTACTAAATTGAGTACTCTGTTTATCAACTATGGTGGATAATGAGAACACATAGCTCTCTTCCTCTCTAGGTGTCTATGTCTGTACACGCACGCCTGCCCTTGAACGTCATGAAAACCTGCCCTGGGAAGACACTTCCATATTACTTCTTTGAGTCCTTTTGTTCTACTCTTCTAGCTCTGATTGGTCAAATAAAAGAAACCTTCTTAACAGCTTTTAGGAAATTATTTTTTAGTCATGTTGTTTATATTTTAAGAGAGGAACAATTTAGTAAATATGTAAGGTAACAATTTATTTACTTTAATTTGAAAAAAAATTCTTCTAACAGATGCTTTACTTGAGTGGAGTGGGTGGATAGCATCTTAGAATTAAAAGTAATAATCTACCAGTAATTTTAATCTGATTTATATTCAAATAGGAGATTATCTTCTAAATGATTTTTGTCACTATTTTGCATGTTATATTTTCTTGACTATGCCTTTACAAGTAAATATCAAATGGATATATGATGTATGTTATTTATTTTTATAGTTAAAACAGAGCCAATGAGCAGCAGCGAAATAGCTTCAACAACAGCAGACGGGTCTTTAGACAATTTCTCAGGTTCAGGTAAGGAAGAAATACTAGATTTTGACATTATTATCAAGTATGCTACACTCTAGCTTATCTATATTCAGCTACGTGTGTATGTGTGTAGACACATAGATAGGTGTTGCTGGCTGCCGTTGAGCTGGTTCTGACTCACAGCAATCATGGAGGAGGAAGCAATAGACTGTCCTGTGCTAATCGCACATTCTTCTCTATGTTTGCCCTAATACTGCTTATCAAACGATATGTAATGTAGCTGTCTGTTCTCGTAAAGATTTAAGGCCTTGGAAACCCAACGGGGCAGTTCTGTGTCCTATAGGGTGATTATGCGTCAGAGTCGTGTGAATCTAGTGAGTTTGACTTCAGAGTTTTGCTTAGAGTCACATATTGGCAACTCTGCTGTTTTTATTCTGTGTTATTGGAAAATGTTGGTTACCTATATCCGAAATAGGTTAGAAGTTTAATTCTAACTATTCTTTCTATTGAATTGTCTTTATTGTGTTGATGGTTCTTCCCACCCAGTTCCCTCTTACTGGCACAGATGTGTCCAACCCATTCAAGCCATCTTCTTCAATAAGGGTTATGTTCAACTATAAAGCTAAATGAAAGTTACCATTCTGTGAACCAGAATAGTAAGTCCTTAAGTCCTTTCTGACATTAATAAAGTTGGCTTCCAACAAACCAAATCTCCATCTTTCACATCAGTGATAATGAAGTGACTGAAAATAAAGCAATACTAAGATGACAGTTATAATTAAAAAAACAAAACTACAATGATATGGTTCTTTTTTTTTTTTTGCCAAATTACCCAGCTTTGGCTATTTTAATTATCAATTATTTCTGCTAGAAAGAATTCTTAAAAGTTTTAACCCTTTTTATATGACTTGTCACATTTAGCAAAGCTCTTAAATGGAATTGCTATATTTTCCCAAGTTTGAGATCAATTTAATCTAGTCCTCAGGATCATTTATTTCATAAACACCACAACTAACTGGACCTATTAGTAGATATAAAATGATGCACAAGATATGAAATCATGCACAAATGCATGACTTTCATCATAATGATACCAGGTAGAGAGACAAGGAAATCACAAGAAATTTTATATGTATTACTTATATAAAACACTTATTAAAATTTGACCGATGCTGTGCAATATGCTTAGTACTGTTAGGAATTCTTAGATGTATGAGAATTTCCCAGCTGAACAATTGACCAAACCATTATAATGGTTCACTTTGATAATGCCAGTGGGAAGCACAGGGACCACCAGAAACAACACCCAGGAAGTAATTCAATGAGACCAGGAGAGTCAGGGAAGACTTTCTGGGGCAAGGCCTGGATACAAGCTTAACAAATGAATAAAGAGAGGGGGGTACTGGATAGGTGGGGCATCATGTAGGAGAGCACACAGGCAGAAAGGACTTGGAGGAACTGCTAATTTTTCATCATCCCGTGTGTGTGTATAGTCTGAGCAGTGAAAAAGGTGCTGGAGAGGGAGGTGGGCTAGAATCTAAAGAGATGTGTATGCCCTGCGTGGGGTTTGGATTTTCTTCTGCATGCAATAGGGAAGCATCAAACAAAGAGTTGCATGATCAAGTTTATAATATAGAAACATTGTGATGGTGGTGGTGAGGTGGGTCGGAGGGGTTGTAAGCGGAAATGCTGAGAGCAGGTTTCTGGGTTCATTTGGACAAGAGATATGGAAGACCTGAAGTATTGGGATGATCATGGGCATGGAAACAATGGATTCCAGAAGTGTTTATGAAGTAAAATGGAAAACAAAAAAGGAATGTAGTCAAATGTTAGAAGCCCTGGTGGTATAATACATTATGTGTTGGATTCTACCCCCAAGAGGAGCAGTTTGAAGCCACCAGCAGCTCTGCTGAAGGGGTTGCTTCTGCGGGAAGGTTTACAGTCTCAGAACCCCACGGGACACTTCTACTCTGTCCCAGCCAGTCTCTCTCAGGGAGAACCGACTAGATGGCAGTGAGTTTGGGCTTTGGGGGGGTTGATAAAAGTTTGACATGAGGTGAAGGATGTCTGAAAAAAAAATTTTAATGGTTCTTGCAACTTTTCTGCAAGTCTCCAATTATGTTCAAAGAAAAAATAAGGAAATGAAGAGTGTCTATGAATTTTGCTCTTGGGAGACCCTTGTCAACACGCTAGAGCCATTTCAGAGGACAAGGAGCTTTGCTTCTGTCCCCAGTGGACCAAAGACCTCAGTTTTGTATTTCCAACATAGTTCCCAGTGGATAAGATATGCTCATCAAGTTTATTTAATAAATGGAGGATTTAATGATTAAGTGGCGGAAGTGGGGACAGAGAGAGGGGGTGGCTTTCAAACTCATAAATCATGAAAATAGGTAGAGAAAATGTGCAAATGCTTTAGAGAGAGGCGGGGTTGAGAAATGGCATTTAAAAGGCTAGGATGATTATAGGTTGTGGACGCGAACTTTATCGAAGCAGAGGTTAAGGGTGTTGATAAGTCAGAGACTGGCTGATTCGTGGAAGTCCCTGGTAGAGCAGCAATGGCAGACATCCAAAGCAGAGGCAGATGAGCTGAGGGAAGGGGTCCTTTTTCTACTAAACCCTCCGGAAAAAGTATGGAAAGCAACAGATATATTTCAAGTGGAGAGGGTGGCAATGCATTGAGGGAATTCCTGTTGGCTTCTTCTGTTCAAAACTTCCCATGAGGCTAAGGGTAAAAGCTACATCCCAACGAGAGCCTGAAAGCCACATGACCGCTCTCACTTTATTCCTGATCTCCCTCGCTTCCTGCGACTCCGCCAACATGCCAGCCGTGCTCCCGAGCGGGGACCTTGGCAGGCACTCTGCTGGACACATTCTTGCCCGCTCAGCTGCCCGACTCCCTTACGGCCTTCAAGTCTCTTCTCAGACCTCCCCTTCTCCAGGGGATGCCCACCCTGGCCACCTTTCTCAGTGTGGCCCCAACCTCCTTACTGTTTTCAGCCACTAAACCATGGTGGCCCAGGCTAAACCAAAAGCGACTAGAACGCTGAGCAGACGAAGTGATTTCTTTGCACATTCTGTCTGTTCTTTGTGCCTCACCCCCACCAAAAGGGAAACTCGGCAAGGGAAGACATTTTGGCCTGGTTTTGTGTACCTCTGTAGCTCCAAATACCGCCCCCGCCCCCCCCCAAAGGGATCTAGTACAAATTATGCACTAAGAAAATTGGCTAGGTTAATTAAAGACCCCATGAAGGAATGGCCGTAGCCATATTTCTCTGACATGACTCAGAAATACAAGTTTGAGGAGTTAAAGATGACTGAGCTGGAGCAGGCGTGAAGTGGGTTGCTAGGAGACCGTTGAGAGGCATGCAGTGAGATGAAGGGATGGACAGAGACAGTGGGAAGTCCACGCGGACTGTCTGTCTGCTGTATGGCGAGCACTTTTTCTTGACAAGGGCTCAGCAGCCCCAGGATAAAGGGCAGATAGCTGCATTCAGGATTGAAGAAATAGGACATTGGCGAATATTGTGGGAAAAGATACGAAGGTATCAGTAAGAGAATGGTTTACAATCATCTTTTCATGTACGGAGGACGAGCAGAGAAGGAAGTGAAGCCGGAGGCTCCAAACAGAGAATGAATATGCCACAAGTCCCGTGGGCCTTGATGTAGGTAGAGATGATGTGAAAGAAGGCTGAATGACATTCCGGAAAGAAAGGATGTTCCTTCCTTAACCGTGAAACCCAGTACATCCAAGCTACACGTTTCTGTCGTTAGAGCTTTGCATTGTTGTCATTCCTTCCTCATCACTACTTAAACATTTAAAAATGTTTTTCTGCTTTGCGGCAAGAACAATAATCTGTTTTCCTTGATCAGAGTTATAGCCCCCACGGCTGCCATAGTGTTGATGAATAGGAGCGGTTCCGTGAATAATCACTTGATGAATACATACATTGGCCAATATCATTTGGTCTACATTTACGGAACAAGAATGAAATGAGTAAAAATGTCCTAAGATGTGACCATGAGCTTGATGGTTGAAGCAGATATCTAGAGTTGAGTCACAAGGAGAAGTGTTATCTGCATAACCCAAAGTAATGCATGGATTTGTCAGGAGAGAGTACTAAGTGCTGAAGGTCATGAAAAATACAAGGCAGTGTGCTGCAGATGGGTTAAAGATCCCCAGGAAAGGACAGGCTGTGTGGGAAAGCAAAACAAAAACAGTGTGGAAGGCGCAATTGTGTGAGGAAGAGAATGTTTTCCTAATTTGGGGGTATCTAGAATGTGAGAGAATGAACAGCCTTTCTTGGGGTGGGGGGAAACAAATGTGGATGACTGAGTTTTGAGAAGGACTTAGTTGAAAGTGGAGATACAGTTATGGGAGAGGCTGGATCTATAGGCAATTTTGTCTCACTTGAATTAATTGTGTGGGCTTAAGACACCAAAGAAAGGTTCCCAGAAAGGGCCTGGGGGTTAGATAAAGGAGCAGGAGGCATAGAGAGCACCACGGAGGTGAGAATTCTTAAGACTCTCTTTTACATTTTTAACAAATGGGTCGAGAATCACCCAGAAATGCTTGAAGTCCTGTTTGCTATCAGGAAGCACGGTGGGGCCAGCTACACGCTGGAAGTTGTGCGTGAGTCTTAAGCCCGTCCTAACTCCACAATCTTCTTTTTATATTATAGTCCAGTTTCTCAAATTGTTCACTCAACAAACTCGGGGAGGCTTAAAAAACACAGATTAAATAGATCATGCTAGAGGGATCCAAGCCTGACACATAATTAATTTCCTCATTTTAAACCAGGCCATGTTCTCTTGTCCTGTGTAGGCAATTACCTTTTGGTCTGTGTACAGGTCCCATACGAGCACAGTTAAGTGTTCTCAAATTCCCGTTCTTCGTGACAATGCTTATTATGTGTTGTGATCCAAACAGTCAAATGCCTTTGCAGAACCAATGAAACGTAGGTAAGTATCTTCCTGATATTCACTGCTATTAGCCAAGATTCATCTGACATTGCAAAAATAATCCTCATTCCACAAACCTCTGCTGT